GAGCAAACGAAGGTTACATTACTGGAGGCGGAGGTGGGCGCTCTGCAGACGGGCCCCGAGAGGAGGGGAGCAGCCTGTCCCAGGTTTGCAGACCAAACGCTGCCACCGAGGGCGTCTGCAGTGGGTGTCATCAACTCGCCTTGCTCTGATAATTGGGGCCGTGTTGGGTGCTGGTGGCTGTGCCAGGCTGACTGTCGGCCGTGGGTTGGCTGGTGAGGGTGTGGGTGGCACTGGATGCCACCTGTCTGCGGGGTGGCAGTAAGCAACTAACCAACTGATGGACTGTGCCACTGGCTGACAGTCGTGTTTTCCTGGCTTCAATCTTCTTAAAAACCCTAAAAGCTGGTGCTGAGCGAGCGCTGTGTCCTGTCCTCTGCCGATGCGTCTGCCGAGGGGAGCACAGCCTGGTGGCCCCGCGGTGCTGCAGAGCCACTGGCCCCTGGGGTGTCAGCGCCGTGGGAACCCCGTCTCCGCACGCAGGCCCTGGTTCTGAGCTGTGCGGGGTGACCCGCTGTCCCTTACCGAGCTGATGTGGCCGTCGCATTGCAGTTTGTGCCGCACGCTGTCACCTCTCGGGTCTCTGCAGGTGTGGAATTAATTCACAGCACGAACCCGGGCACCACTTCTGGGTGGCACTGGGAGTGGGGGGGAGCTGGTGCTGAAGGCGGAACCCTCCCCGGACCTCTCCCACCTTTCAGAAGGAGCTTCTGGACTTCTCTGGTACCAGGGACCGAACTCCTGACCTTGCGCTTGCTAGGCAGGTGCTTGTGCTGCTGACCTGAATCCCTGGCCTTGTTTCCTTTAAAATTCTGCCCTGTTGAAGCGGAAGCTGCATGTGGTCGGCAGGCCGCTCCCTCCAGCTCTGACGTCAGTCTTCGGTTTATTCAGGGTGTCGCTGTCTCTGTGGTCTGTAGTGCCTGCCTGAGCCCCGCTCCCAAGGCCTGGGCTCCACATGTCCTGGACTGCGGTCCTCCCTCCCTTCCACGCTGACCCTGGCTCCTGTGCCCCTGATGCAGGGCCTGCTCCCAGGGCTGATGAAACCCCTCGCCCACAGGGCTCCCTGCAGCTATAGTGCTGACCAGGGCTGGGCACTCAACCCAGGGCCTTTGCACTCACCGACCCCTTCTTAGTTTAAAAAAATTTTTTTGTTGTTTTAAAGAGAATAAAATGAAAGAGAACAGAACAAAGCAAATTAGAACAGAACAATGCAAGCAAATTAGAACAGAATAATGCAAGCAAATTAGAACAGCAAATCAGAACAGAACAATGCAAGCAATACAGCACTTCACAAGACAGGCAGACATCAACAGTGGCTGCGTAATGTTTCTTTCATCTCACTTTCCTCAAAAAATTTGTTCATACTATCACACATAATAAAATCAAATCAACCACAATAGGACAGAACCAATCAAAACAGAAGAACTGAAGCATGGTTGGACTTCAAAGCAAGATGATAGTAAATCAGCACTGGCTGCCATGATGTCTTGTTTTCTTCAGAGTAGCGGTTCATACCATCACGCATGATAAAATCAAACAGAATAAAACCAACCCAGCCCATGAATGAAAGCATTATAAGACTTCAGAGCAATAGGAAACCATGATTACCGTAATACATCCCATTGTATTCAAAGTAGCTGCCCCTACCGTCTGACAGCACAGAATCTAACAGGACAAGACAGAACAACAACTGCGTGAACAAGGCAGGATCTCAGACGAGAGCATTTCCTGCCCTTTGTCTTACATGAACTGTTTCGCTTTTGGGTTCACGCATGTAAGCTCCGTCCTGGCCGTGATCGTGCTCTCCAGGGGCGTCCATTTGCCTACAGAAGCCCTGGGTGCTGCTGCGGATGGGCAAGCTGCTCTTTTTGCCTCCTGTCACATGGAACAATCGTTTCCTCTCCTTTGGTTGCAGTCTGTGAGTCTCCTTTCCAGTTAGATGTGTTTCTGGTATGCAGAAGTTGGAGGATCTTGATTCCTGGTCCCTTCTCCCTGTGTTTCTTTCTCTGGCTGACCTGAGGCCATCTACGTTCGTGGCCACAACCAGCACACGCGGCTTGTCCCTGCCCTGCTGTCCTCCCGTTGCCGACCCTCCACTTTCCCCTTCCTTCAGTCGCTCGTCCTGTCTGGAGGTCCTCCTCTGCTGCTGTTCCTGGAACCATGCTCGGCTTTCTCTCTCTAGAACAGCCTTCAGCTCTCTAGGGTTGGTCTGGTGGTGATGAATCCCTTCAGTTGTTCTTTATCATGATGCATCTTATGTTTCCACCAGTTTTTTTTTTTATCGGTACTGGGGATCAAACTCACGACTGCCTGCTTGCAAGGCAGGCGCTTAAATCCCCAGCCCTTTCCACCAGTTTTGAAAGATAGTTTTTCTGGGTAGCTCAGTCTGGGTTGGAAGGTGTATTCTTTCAGGGTTTGAAATACTTCACTCCAAACTCTTCTTGACTCGATGGTTTGTGTGGACAAGTCTGTTGGTTGGTTTCCCTTACAGGTGACCTGTAGCTTTTACTATCCTGTCCTTGTGCTGCATTTCTGGGTCTGGATTGTTATACGTCCGGGTGTGCACTGACTTTGGCTACGGCTGGTTGGAGTCCTTAGGCCTCTGTGTCTGCGTGCCGCACCCACTTCCCGTGTTTGGCAAGTTTTCTGCCGTTACTTCTGTGAACGCCCCTTTAATGTCATTAGCGCTGACCCTGCGACCTCACCTACACCTGTCACTCTTGAGCTTTGATTCTTTGCCTCGTCTTGCAGCCACTGAGTTGTCATTTCGTGATGCCGTGCTGTTTTAAGAGTTTTCCTTTCATGCTCACTGGTGCAGTCCTGTCTTAGGTTTGGCAGTCGTCTTCAGTCTCTTTCGAGCGGTTTGGCCAGCTTTGGATTGAACTTTGACTCTCCTGCGTCTCCCTTTGAAGCTGTCTCATCTTTCTACCTTCGTTCACGGCTTCCCTCATGCTCCTGTGCTCCTCCTGATGGTCCGTGTCCTCTTAGACCTGCTGAGCAGTCCCTTTACCCGAGTCAGCATTCCTGACCCGACTGCTTTACCGTCTCATGGAGTGTTTCCCTACCTCAGCTGCCGTCCCCTCAGAGGTTTCAGGGGAGTGTCTTCCGTTTCCTTCCATGGCTGGGCCTCCTGCACTTGTTCCGTGTGGGCTGGGGGTCTCAGTTTGCCCTTTGCTCCTCCTCTTGACATTCTCCTGGTCCCTCCCAACAGGCTGGTGCGGGCCCAGGCACTTCCCGTGTTGGCTGCCCCGAGGCGGTGTAGAGGAAGGGACACGCACCTGGGTTCCTCTAATTCAGATTTACCGGGAGGTAGCAGGAGGTGGAGCGGGCTTCTCCAGAGCTGTGCAGCTACACTGGGGCTTTGCTGATGATCAGGGGTGCATGAATATGGGGCTGCTTCTCAGCCTGTGTGTCGACATGGGACTCCCACGATGGTGGCAGACACACAGAAGGTGTTTGTCTGATTCTGCTAGTGGGTGATGGCTGCCTGAGGGCACCAGGGGCCTCCAGTGGTGGCCTGCAGATGCCCGGGGCTTCCCTGGCTGTGTGTCCCACTCCTGCTGGCTGCCTGTAGGAAGGAGCCTTCCGGTGGCAGTTCCCTGAGATGAAGGTGGATCTGCTGGTTCTCTCTGCCCACACTGGCCGCCTGTAGGACGTGGCCTTTTGGTGGCAGCGTGCAGCGGGCAGAGGTGGATCTGTCTGTCTCCTCCAGCCCGTGCTGGGCGCGTGGAGGAAAGGGCTAGTTCTGTATTTTGAGCAGGGCCTCCCTAAATGCTGAGCTTCCCTGGCTGCTTGAGCTTGCTGCCCTGCTGCCTCAGCCTCCTCAGGTGCTGAGATTCCAGGCGCGGTTTCTTTGACGTGAGCAGCCCGTGTCGTGCGTGGTGGCAGCGAGGGGGCGAGGCCTCGTGGTTTGTGAGTTTTCACCACCAGCGCCACGCTCCTCCTTTGTGAACATGCTGGGATGCGGTCAGAGCAGTGCAGCCTCCGTGTTCGGGCCTCAGCTGGGCCCAGCGAGATGCTTTGCCTTGTCCAGCGGGCCTGAGGGAAGGAGGCCCTCTGGGTGACCTTGGGTGCGGTCCCTGCGGGACACTGCCAACACCGCTCGGGCTCTGCACCCTAGGCCTGTTGGACAGCCCCACATCTGGGCACCATGCTGCCCGCAGCCAGAGCAGGAGACACGAGCCCGCCCGGAGGAGCGGGAGTGGTCGGCCAGCCTGGGGCGGCTGGGCGCAGGTGACGCCTGGTGCCTGCCCCTCGGTGCTGTGTGTCCTGCTGTTCTGATGGCCCAAGTGGCGGAGGACACAGTGGCCCCTGCTCCTTGACCAGCACTGCTGCAGCAGATGCTCCTGGAGCTGTGCAGGGCAGGATGGGTGAGGGGCTGTGGGGCAGGGGCTGCGGGCCCCGAGTGGAGCCAGGGAGCCGGGAGAGGTCCCGGGAGGCTGAAGCTGCCGCACTCCTCTGTGTGTTCTGCTGGCCTGGTGGTGGCAGCCCCCACCTCGGGTGCTGAGGACCATGTGGCTCCACCCGCAGACAGGCCGCACTTGGCTGCGTTGTCACTGTGTCTGTGATGCCCGGGCTGCAGCCTGCACTCGCCAGGGCCACGCGGGCTGTGCCTCCCACCTGCTTCCCCCGGCCAGGTCCCCATGGAGCAGACAGTGGTTCAGCCGACTTGGGGTCCTGAGGGCTCTGGCTTCCGAAAGAGAAAAAAGGGCGCTGGCCCGGGTGCCGGTGCCCGAGGGCTATTGGTGCTGGCCACGCCAGGACTAGGCTGGGGACCGGGCACTGCCTGGGGCCGGGGTTGGGCAGGGCTGGGCGGGGCTGAGCGGAGCTGGGCAGAGCGCCTTCCCTGTGCCCGCCTGGGCTGGTGCGTCCTGCCTGCCGGGGCCTCTGAAGTTTGTGGGGTGACCCCGCCCAGAGCTCGGATCGGGGTGTGTTAGGCAGGGACGCTGCTGATCACTTTCCTCTGATGCACAACGAATTCATGTCTCTCCTTTGTTTTGCAGAAAATGATGTTCATTATGATTTGTGTAGTTATCTTGCTTGTGACCCTTGGGATTATCCTCGCAGCAACGTTGTCATAGCGACCGCATCCCACAGCTTCCCTGGAGACGCAGACCACGCCCGTTGCAGTGTCCCAGCTCCGCTCTCCGTGGACCAAGGCCAGTGTGGTGGCCAGTGCTGACCATTTGTTTCCAGGAGCTTCGGGGAGCATGCCCGGGCACTGGGGCCTCGGACAGCGGCTGCCCGTGCTGGGCCCTCCCAGCCCGGGTTCCGGAGCCCCGCAGAGGCAGTGGCTGGGCATCAGGAACGGACGACCACTTCGGCTACAGAACTCCTGTGCTCGGCGGGGACACTCGGTGCTGCGAAGCCATGCGGTCGGTCGCACACAGGCGGGAGGTCCCCAGCTCTCGTGCTAATGAAGAGGCCTTTTGTATTATGCGTCATTTTGTGTTATGGCTTGCTTGCGGAAATAATTTTTATTACTGCAGAGCTGTTTTGTACAATATCTATGATTTTAATGTGTGTGAACTAATTGTTTAATATATTAGCAACCGTACTCCATTCTGTGTGCTCGGTTCTGGCCTCCGAAGGACTGGGCAGCACCCCAGACGCTGGCCGGGCACCCGGCTCTGCACGGAATTCGCTGCCCTCAGAGACGCTGGCTACGGCCCCTCGCCCCTCCCGGACGCTGAGCCAGGAAGCCTGGCACCTCCAGACCTTAACCTGTCTCTGCCCACCTTCTCCAAGATAATAAATTGGTTCCCGCACCACAGCCGCAGCGCACTCCTGCTCATTTAAAGCACAAGCGGGACTGGGCAGGACCCTGCTCAGATCGCAGCCCTGAGAGGGGGCCGCTGGGGGCAGGGCGTCGCTTCTGTTCGTGTTGACAAAGTCTGAGTTTAAGGTGGTGGCAGAAGGGAGCCAGTAGTCTCTAAGCTCCGGGAGGTTATTCCCGGACGTTCGGGGTGTTTCTGCTTTTTCAGGTTTGTTTTTGTCTTTTTGAGACAGGGTCTTGTACGTAGTTCGGATGGGTCTTGAGCTCACTTTGTAGCCTTGGCTGGCCCTGGTTTTGTAGCCAGCCTCCTGCCTCAGTCTCCTGAGTGTTGGGATACAGGTGTGTGCCCCCACGCCCAGCCTTTAAAACACTGTGTTTATACCGGCACCGAACTCAGGACCTTGTGCTGGCCGGGCAGGCGCTGTGCCTCTGAGCGCACCCCTGCAGGGAGCCCTGGCGACCTGGAACTCCTGCGGGTCTCTTCAGGGCTCTTCCGTAGCGATGTTCTGCCAAACTCTAAAGTTTAATTCCCAACCAGAAGCGTCAGTGCTTGCAGTCCAGCACTCGAGAGGCTGAGGCAGGAGGATCACCATGAGTCTGAGGCCACCTTGGGCTACAGGCTGAGTTCAAGTCCTGCTGAACTATAGAGAGACCCTGTCTCAAAACAAACCAACCAGCCAAACAAACAAACAGAAATCTCAGAGTTGATAAGAATATATGATACGTGATAAACCTTTTTATTTTTTATTGGTGTCTTGAGTATGAAAAGTGTTTTTAGGCTTATAAACTGTGCAAGCAGATGGATCAGCCCGTAGTGAGGGCTCAGTAGTCACGGTGTAGCTGGCTGTCAGCACTGGACCTGCAGGACGCTAAGCAGTAGACACTGGGTTCCTGCCCCCTGGCAGCTGGTCACAGCCCCGCTGCTGGCTGGGCCAAAGGTGGGGCTCCCTGGTGCCCATCGCCTTGGGAGGCCTGGAGCACGTGCAGTCTCTGGGGTCCTGGCTGTGTGACGTGTGGGGCTGTCACTGTGTCCGGCCCTGGAGGACCTCGCTGCCCACCCCCTGGGCCACCCTGGTCCCCGTCTGCCCTTGCCTGCCCGGGCAGGTCCCTGTGTGCCCCGAGTGAGAGACAGTGGCCACATCCACTGTGTGTGGGTATTGTGTCCTGGCCAGGTATCTCCACGACGTTGCATGAATCAGGGCGGACACAGCAGGTGACAGGTTGACTTGTTACCCTGCTCGGGTCTGCGGAGAGTCTGTGTGTACACTGTGTTTCCAGGGGAACAAAGGGAACTTTCGTTCTGTCGGGTCTTTTCTGGAAATGCTGGGGGTGTTTCCTTGTAGGTCCAGTGGTGGCCTGTCCCGCTGAGATGGTCACTCCTGGCCCTTGTGGTTATACTGAGTAATGTAAACTGATCATCCTAGGTGTTTTTCATAAAACTAGTTTTCCTTTTCGGTACTGGTGATTGAACCCAGAGAGTGCTGAGCTACAACCCTGGGCTTTATTATTATTATTTTTTAAATTTTGAGACAGAACCTTGTTAAATTGCTCAGGCTGGCCTTTAATTCACGAGCCTCCTGCCTCAGCCTCCCAGTAGCTAAGGTTACAGGCTTGTGCCACCGTGCCCAGCTCAAAGGTATTTTTTTGTTTGTTGTGGTTACATGCTTCTGTTGTCTGTGTCTCGGATGTGGAGGATCATTACTAGGGAGCCGCTGACCCCTGGAGCTTATAGCAAATACTAATTCCATGCTTTCGGGCTCCACCTCGAGGTCACTTGTTTGAACTTTGATGGGGTTTCCGGGTCCTGGTGATAGGTCCTCACCTTGGGTCTGAGCTGTGCTGCCTCTTCCTCCCTAACGTCCTGTGAGAGCTCGCCATGGACAGTGTGCCCTTGGTCCCTTAGTGCTTCCCGAACTCAAACCACGTTAGCAGGTGGCTTTCGTCTCCGGGAACCTCAGCGCCACCATCATGGGCCGAAAGCCTGGGTTCGCAGAGGTGGGTGGGCAGCGGGGCCTCTGTGGCAGTGACTGTGCAGCCCTGAGGATGGCTTCCTTCCTGCAGATGTGCTGGGAGGTGGAGCCACAAATCCACCAGCTCTAGAACCCTCCCGGGCTGCGGACTGCGGGGCTGGGAGCCACCCTGGGGGAGCCGGTCGGGTCCCTGCCCGAGCTTTCCTGAGTTTGGTGCCTTCCAGCTGAGCTGTGGCCCCGGAGCGGGAGCGGGGGCTTCCTCCCTGGTCTGGGGCTCCTGGGCAGCAGCACTGCCCCTGCCCCGAGGCTGCCTGTGGTCTGCTCGGCCTCAGGCTCTGACCTCCCTGCTGCATGATCTGGGAAGCCCTGTGTCTCAGAGCCCAGCCCTGGAGGTCACCAGGGCCTCTCGGGGACAAGCTGGCAGTGTGTGTCCAGCCTCCGGAGGATGACTCCCAACACCGGCACCCCTGGGGCCGCTGCTGACACACTGCAGTGTGGGACCCTGCATGTGAACAGGAAGCACCAAGAGCTGAAAAGTCCTTTCAGAGTCCCGGATGGCGATTGGTGTGCCCTTGCCTGGCACAGGCTTGCTGTCTCTTGTGGGGTGTGGGTGGAAGCTGCTCCCCACCCCACCCTACCCCGCTGCCCACTGAGCCGCACGACCTCCCCAGCCACTTTTGTGGTCTGGTCCCTGCTCTGCCTATGTGGCTTCTTTCACACGTCCCGAGCGTGCGCTCCTGGGGGAGGGATGAGCCGGCTCCCCCGGGTTGTCCCTAAATGTGTGAGCGGCCACGGTGACCTGTGTCACCGCCTAGAGCTGCTGTGGGCTGTCGTGCCTGCAGGGCACCTGACGGGCAGCAGAGGGCGCTGTCAGCTCAGGCCCGCGCGCACCCATCTCCATGACTGACTCAGTCTGACCGGCTTGTAGCTGCCCTGTGCCCCGGGTCTGCTTATCCAGAGGCAGCAGCACATCGATGGTCACCTGGGGTGGCTCCTGGGGACCCTTGCCAGGGACACCGCCGACCAATGGAGGCCTGGAGCCCTGTGCAGGCCGGGACTCCCAGGGCTGGGAGGGACGGCACACGCTGGCCCGGCAGGTGGTGAGGGGCCTGCTGGCCAGGGGAAGGGTTTTATTCTCAGGTCACACAGAGAAGAGGTGGCTGCAGGGTCATGGTGCTGCTCTGCCCTGCTCAGTGCCGGGGGCTTGGTGGCCGTGGGACAGGGTGGCTGCAGGGACACTGGGTCCTCGAGCCTGGAGGACTGCAGTGGCAGCTGCCATGGTGGGTCAGACCCAGGCGTGCGGGCACCGGGGGGCACCTATGGGGGTCCCCAGGACACAGAGCTGGAAAAGGTGGGGGCCGGGTGGGGCAGGAGCCAGCGGTGGCAGTGAGATGTTGCGGTGAGTGGCTCCCCTCAAAGTCCCTGTTACCTCATTTCTCACCAGCCCGCGCTCCCAGCCCACGCGTTGGCGGGCCTTGAGGTAGTGGAGTGTGGACATGGCCGGCTCCGCTCTCATCCCCTCCCCTCCTCTGCTCTCTCCCCTGCCCGCCCCTCCCCTCCCCTCCCCTCCCCTCCCCTCCCCTCCCCTCCCCTGCCCTCCCCTCCCCTCCCCTGCCCTCCCCTCCTCTGCTCTCTCCCCTGCCCTCCCCTCCCCTCCCCTCCCCTGCCCTCCCCTCCCCTGCCCTCCCCTCCCCTCCCTTCCCCTGCCCTGCCCTCCCCCCCTCCCCTCCCCCTTCCCGTCTGAGAACCGCCTCTCCTGCTTCTTACCTGTGGTTCACTCTACTCTATAATTTGCGTTTCTCTTCTAAGAGAAGCTCTGTGATCCCTAAGCCTCCATCGCCGAGCGTCTTGAGGACAGGCCCGCAAAGGACTGGTTTCTGCTTCTCTGGCCGCGGCGGCCGGCTGAGCCCCGCGCTTCCTTCTGTGCTCACCTGCAGTGGACACGACGGCTGCTGCCCAGGCCTGGCCGTCGCGGGCTGAGCTGCCAGGATGCCCTCTGCTCCCCCGGAGGACACCTAGGAGGACAGTGGGGCCTGGCCGGAGCGAAGGGCTAGGCCGCGGGGCAGAGGCGCACAGGGTGCAGGGTGCGAGCCCAGGGTTAGAGCACGGACGCTGGGATCGGTGAGCACCCGCTCTCTCCTGGACAGACGGACAGACGGGACAGCCCGAGCGGCTCCGCATTCCCGTCAGCTGCTCCTCTGCACCGAGTTCTAAGTGGAACCCGAGAGGCCTCTGCTGGGCAGCTTCCTTCTCCCAGGTCCCTGACGGCCAGCCGGGGCGCCCTGTTGAGAAGTCGCCCCGGCCCTCAGCAGCCGAGCTGACCCTGGTCTCCAGGCGCCTTCGTCCTCCGTGTCCCCCACTGTCACCCCCAGGACCCGGCTGGCTGTGCAGGAGGGTGAGCGGGGTTCCCTCCCGCAGCCGCCAGGGGGCGCCGCCCCTCCCGGGTGAGCGCAGTCTTGGGGATGTTTGCACTTCTCTGGTGCAGTCATGCTGAAGACATTTTCCCCCCGTCTTTTGGCTTTTTGTATTACTTTCTACAAAATGGCCATCCCTTTTGCTTGCCTGTTAAAAAGAGAACAACTTTATTGAACCCAAACTTTGTATACCTCACCATTGACAGAACATAAGATTTAGTAATTTTAGTAATCCACAGAGGTGTCTGATTGTAACCACTAGGTCACTCTCGTCCTGAATCCAACCCCGCCCCAGCTCTCACCTCCCGGACCTGCCCCCAAATCCAGGGAGCGCTGTGCTCTTCTCCATCTTCCCAGATTTTCCTGGTCTGGCAATTTAGAGATAAATTCAAAATAGAGAAGCTTAGCCGAGCATGGTGGCACATGTCTGTAATCCCAGCACTCGAAGGCTGAGGCCGGAGGATCATTGTGAGTTCAAGACCAGCCTGAACTGCATGGCAAGACCCCGTCTCAAAAACAAACAAACATAATGGGTGGCGCTCACCACAGCAGTTGGACCCTGGCCTTTTATTTCAGTGGCCTGGCTTTGGGAGTCCTCCCCTGTGGAGGAGCG